ATGGAACAAGTTCATACAGATATTTACATATAGCATTGAACAAATAATCTTTTTGTAACTTTTATCCACCAAAGAATAAGGCTCATCGCGAGAGATACAACTTGGCCATGCTTTCTGCAGTCAGTACATAGTAAAAATACTTATTTCTGAAAATGACACAAATGCAGAGATTAAATTAGGTAATCTGTGAACCTTATTTTGCATAAAGAATTGTAATACCAGTATAAATGCATTTTCCATATACCTTCTAAGAATCTCCAATTTTGGCAACGTTGTTAACAGAGACTGCCATTTCCTCCTCTCCCAAGTACTGCATTCAGAGATGATTACATCATCTCAAAAAGACAGAAAAACATGAATAGGCCAGGGAGGCCCATTATAGCATACACAGAGTAATTAAAAAGACTATAATTTTTTAGTTAGAAAAGGAGATAACTCAAGAAAAAAAGGGTTATTATGTTTCTAAAGAGACAAATGAAATCATGTGCAATTTAAGTTCTCGGAAAGGACAGTAATGCCTTCCATCTGTTGAGAACAGCCTTGGAAGCATAAGAAGAAACTCTGTTCCTTGATCTAGCAAAGAATTTAAACTAGCAGCTTAAATATCTGAGCAAATTGTTGAAACCAATGGTAGTCATTTGAAGTTAATCATCAAATTGGTCACTTTCCTGAAATAACTTAGTAAGTGTTAATACAGAGTAATCAATCTGTTTTTAAACCCTCTAGCCTAGCTGAAAGACACTGACATGTTCTATCTTAATAGCAGGACAGCAAGACAAATTATTTCTTTAAAAAAAATCAAATTAAATGCAAACTATTAATATACATATGTTCACTTTAGGGTAAAAAGGGAAAAGGTGAGTAAAACAAATTAGAAAATTAAAACATAGTAGTATTTTGTTTTGACATTATCCCAAATTAAAATGTTTCCATTTTCATGTCAGATCGCCCCTCCTAAAAATAAACCTTTTAAAGAAAAAATTAAATTTTATAAAGAAATGTTCCACCCATCAAAGCACTTTTAAACATTTTTTGTTTCGTTGTCCTGTGAGAGAAAAAGTTCTGGTTCAAAGCAAAAGAGCAATTTTTCTCATAGCTCTGTAGTTAAAGGCTTTGAGTGAATCAGTACTTGCAAATAATGTAGGCAGGTCAAAAGGAATGTTCTGTTTCCTCCAAAAAGTATGTAATTTCAGCAAATCACTGGTAACCACATTATACAAATTCTTTAACAAAATACAAAGGCATATTCAAAGATTTCCCTAGCAGTCTTATCAGTGCAAGAAAAGAAAGCAACCTCATTAAAAAGCAAAACTAGCTATTCCCCTTTTCATACTCATCAGAACTTTTCGCCTCAGGGTTCAGGACCTTCTGTTATGTTAATAATGCTGTGGACCGATCAAATCTTTTAAACAAAGCTTGATTCAGTGTCATCACTCAAGCATGCTTCCAACAATAGAAGACTGCAGTACAGCAGACAAAGATCTTCCTCCATGGTTTAGCTTCGAGAAAAAAGGGAAGTCAACAACAGAGAGGCTGCTCTCTTAAAGGGTTGACATTTCTACGAACCTCTTAGTTTCCACTGCCTGAGGGTCTTGGAAATACAATCTGTGCTCAAACTCAATTCTCAATATTTACATTCACATGGCTTTGCTCAGGACCCGACTCCTGCATGTTCACTTCACCATACACATGGGTAATTAAAATAATAAGTAGTCGGGCTCACCAAATCTGGAGACCGTAAGAATTCTTCAAAAGTAAAAGGAGGCTTTTGCATTTTCTGCTGACATACAGTAAGAATTGTTCTCACCAGAATGCCTTAAAAAACCCTAAGATAACATATATTAGCAAATATTTAAACGTTAGATAACTAAAACTGACAGTCAAAGCTATCCCTATAGCATATATAGAGCACGTTCATTGTCATTTCTTCCAATAACCGGAAGAATACTACACATTCTTAGATGCTGTGAAACATGCTAAAAATGTGAAAGATATGTAAGGAAACTTCATCATGAAGGCAGAACTTCCATTTTCTTCTCAGTACTTCCATACAAAATATTTATACTATTATTATTTAGGTACTTCTAAAATACGTACTGAAGAAAAAGTGGATGTCCAATCACCCGGCAAATCTGCTCTGTTCTCATATATGCAGTTTTTGTTTGGAAGTTGGGAGAAATGTGAGGGCTGCAGATTAACAGAAGTCTTACTGAAATCAATCAACTGGTATCTTCTGAGTTCGGTACAATTAAAACCTCAAACTTTACACTGTTACATCTGAGCAGAAACCAAGTGTGAGAAATACCGGTTTGAAAAAAATTATCTTTTTAGTAAATTGTGAAATGAAGAACCCCAAACAAAAATGATGTATCAACCATTCCTAAAAATGGTTTTTCTAATATCACAGCTTTTCTGCAAATAACTGTGCAGAATAAAAGTATACAAAGGAGTAATTCAGACTTCAGAGCCTGCTTTTAAATGATGAGCAGGCTCTGTTTGCTCCCAAACAGCAAGTTCTGGATTAAGCACCCGAAGAAATCATTCAAACAAAGTAAGAGAAGGTACACTTAGTAAAACCTATTATAATTTAGCTTGGCAAGAAAGAATTTTAGAAACTATTCTAAAAGTCTTCTTTGCATCCAATAAACATTGTTATTTTGACATAATTATCTACTGCACATCAAGCCGTGTTGTCACAGCATAAGGAGCCAAAAAAAATACGGGTGGTGAAATGTAGCCCTTTTTTCTTACTACTGCAATGTATTACATACTGCTAGCATGAAAAACGGATCAAGTCAACACAAAACAAATAACAACAGAATGCTGGTGGAAATCCTCTGCCACCGAATGTAATACCACTGAAGCCAGTGAGGTTTTTGGGGTGTAACTGAGATCAAAGTTTGGCATAAAATCTGCCTACAATGTCAACATTTTCCCCTAAGGCTATTACAACTAATATATCGCAGGCTTTATTTCATTGAGTCGAGAGAAATATTCTCTCTAACAGAATTACTGGTTTAGTTTAGTCACTTCAACCTAAAAATGCAGTTACTGAACACTGAATATTGGGTAAATGCCACCGTAGAGCAGCATCCTCAACCAGGCCAAGGAATTCCACAGAGAAGATCCCAGTTCGTCCTGTTTAGAGAGGGATGCAAAACAAGAAAGGAATACGGCAGCGCAGTTCTTCCAGCCCTTGGTGTCAGCTGCAGGTCTGCAGCAGGTATTCTACCCGGTGGGGGAAAAAAACACGGGGAAAAAAATCCAGGTGACCTAGCTTTCCTGGAGTTAACAAGGGAGCGAGAGAAAACCTCCCGCCTCCCCAAGCCAACGCTTCGCAGGTGCTTCCAGCGAGCGGACAGACCCCGCAGGGCGGCACCACCTCCCCTGAGGGAGAGGCCTGCAGGAGGGTCAAGCCACGGGGACATTCCCCCGGGCTGGGGAAACCTGGAACGGGGAACAGCCGGACCGGGCGGATTCCTCCCCTGCAGGTAAC